TCGTTGACAATAATTGAATGAACGGTATGAGCTCCCGTCGCATCTTTTATATTTTAATTCGCAGATGATATACAGGGCATTCATTTGTTCTAGACTATGTAGAAACAGAAAATCACGGCCGGTACGTCGAATAACTCCCAAAGTTTCGTGATAATGCTAAATTCAGACTTCTACATCAACTATGTAATAGTAAATGCAAGACACAAATATGATTTCGAAATTATAGCTCATTTTAGACAAATATCTTATTGGATACATTTTTTTATTCATTAGTTTTGTCTTACATATATCTCATGTGCATTACATCGTAATATGTACCAACTGCAGTGTATTTATAGTATACTGTATCGATTGTAACAACAGCTTTCTTATAGGCTATAACGACTGTTTAATTGGCTATAACGGCTACTTTATCAGCTATAACGGCTGTCTAATTCCGCTATAACGGTTGTCTAATCGGATAAAATAGCTTTCTTATAGACTAAACGGCGTTTTCATCAGCTTAAGGAAAAGGCCATTGAAAAATTTTTTTTTTATANTCGATTACGATTACCAGCTGATCGTAGAAAAATTCACCTTCAGTAGGCCGGAATCAGCTGCTTTTTGGGGTAATGTTATTGTTTATGTTTGGTATTAAGTTACGGATTAGCCGACGAAAATGCACTCACGTTAGGGTCCATTAGATGACTGAACATGTTAGAAAAACTACGTACCTATCACACTTGATAATCCCATGATCCTAAACTGAAGTGGACCTAATGTAGCCCATGACGTCGGGTATAATGTTATATTACACAGAAAAAAAATTATAACGATTACGGAATACTTAGAAGTGGTTCACAAACGATCCTGGCCACCCAGCGTTTGGTGGAGGTTTGTAATATAACGTACAAGTGTACGAAGACAAATGTATCTGTTATGGTTGTAACAGTTGAGATAAGATGCATACCTATTGTGACCAATCACATGTGTTAAATTGCTTATTCTGGCGTTAGTTTTTCCTGGCAGAGCTCATTCACCCCCCGTGGATTAATACAATGATGTATCCAGAAGGACCAAGTTGGTTATTTTGTGTTCATTAAATGTAAAAAGCTCAATATTGATATAACCTCGTATAATTACACTTCTGGAAGTGACTGGAATAAATACACATAATGTAGTTTCTAACAAGTTATTCAGTTTGCTTTAGATTGTTGTGGAATTTACTTGTTTGTTAGTGTTAGTTTATTTCATTTCATAAAAGACTATTACAATAAGAACAATTAGTAGTGTGATAGTGCACTATAGTATGGTTCTTATTCAACCGTCAGTTGGTGGTGAGTTATATTACCAATGCCTTTCGCATAATTCGAAATATTATTCCCGGTATCTGGGCCAAATTTCGCAGCAACTGGGTACGGTACGCCGCTGTTAGTGTTGCATTGAAGCGAATGACGGGCAATTCCAATATTTTTTTATAAAAGGTACGCTTTTCTTTTTCACTTTTCCTTTTTTACAAGGTGGAAGTGCATTCGGCTTCTTCCCGGTAGGTACCTGTTACATCCACACAAGATCAGCTGAGCGACGTTAGTCGCCTACATCCAGGCCCGTAATGAAACAAATTGTACGTTCAAATTTACAAAGACATTTTGCGAGCTCAATTGTCATTGGATTGAAAAATTGTATAACACATTTTTGTTGTATTTTGTGTCAGGAAGCCATGTTTTTTTGTTTTAATTATTAAAATGGGACACCCTGTATAAGTCGGCTAGTAGTTGTGCGATCACGCAATCGGATGCGTATCGTTGTTGTAAGCGGTTCTGAAAGGTTGTCCATTCCAATTCGGCGGCGTCGATCTCTCGGTACCATATGGCGGCGATATCGTGAAGGTGTCCGGCAGCGTTCGCTGTGTACAAGTCGGGGTGGATGTGTTGGAGTGCGAAGTACTCCTTGAGTTTTTGAAGGAATCCGGTCGGATCCTCGTGTGATAGGCCGGTGAACTCCGGCCTTGGTGGTAACGAGGATGATAGATCTGCGTGTGGAGCGCTTGGATTAGGTCGTCCAAAGGAGGTTGGTCCGTGGCTACGGAAACAGCCGTGGCTTGGCCATCGCCATCAGTTTGGTTATCAGGCATGGTTTTGGTCACAATCCGTCCGCTGCGAAGGTGAATGGTAGCCGTTGCTGTGGTAGGTGGTTTCTTCTAGAATTCGGGACTCCGTCTGGAGTTCCTTCTCCGGTTGATGGAGGCTAGGCCCCACGTTGGGCGCCAGAAATTGTTACCGGTGGACAGGGTTGAAGTGGCCTTACGGTTCGGACTGTTGGAGGGGCGGACCGGTGACAATCTATGATAAACAAGGAAACAAATACAGAAAACAATTCTTTAGTCTTTATTTACGTGGAGGTTTATATATACATGCAGTACACGTCTTCAACTAATCTAGGCTTATACCTACGTCTTATAGCTAAACAACTATTACTACACTAAATGTCAGAACGGAGTCCAGGCACTAGGAATCACAAGAGATGATTCGACGCACTGTTTCACTATTCCACTGGTGAAGTGACTGTCGTCGGGGAGCGGTTAATCTCGTTGTCCCAGGACGGGAGGGCGAGTTCCATGGTCGGCCATGGCTCCCAGTCGATAAGAGGAAGGACACCAAGCAGGGGGGAGTAGGTGTATTTTAGTTTGGCGAACAGGCCCCTCAGCACGTTCTGCGCGGTGGATTCTGGGTTGAGGGAGGCTCCCGTGGGACGTCTGGGGTCGGCATTATATGTATTTGTACAAATAATAAATAAANTGCTGTCCATTATTGTTGTTTTCGGGTGTGACAGTATCCTCTGGTTGATCGGGGTTTTCACTCTCGAGGCATGTTTCCATTCATCCGTCGACTTCTTCGTATAATTCTCTTGATCCTAATGAAAGTTCTTCCACAGGGCAAATTCGCGAAAGTGCATCAGCGTTATATTTTTGTTTTCCCGGTTTGTGGATGATTTCATAGGTATATTCTTCTAAGTCTCGATGAAGGGTCCTTCAGGGGTTGATGATCAGTGATAATGGTGAACTTTTGTCCATAGGGTATGGTGGGAAGTGCTTCGTTGTCCATACGATAGCGAGTAAGTAGTTCTCGTTCAATAGTACTGTATCTCCTTTCTACCGGGTTTAATGTGTGGCTTGCATACGCAACGGGAAGTGAATATTTGACTGGTCCTCGAAATAGTACTGCACCAATTGCGAATTTTGAAGCATTGGTAGTTAAAATGAAGGGTTCACCGAACTTCAGATATTGTAGTGTTGGGGATGATATAAGTTTATCATTCGGCATTCTTGAATCCAAATCCATTTTTCTTCTTTCTTTGAGTGAGGTGCTTTGAGATTTTTGCGTAGTTATGTATGAACTTCCTATAATACCCTGTCAGCCCTAGGAAAGCCTTTATATTTTACGTTTTTTTTTCGGGACGGGAAATTCCTTGATGCATTTGATCTTTTCCGGGTTTGGTTTTATTCCTTTGTCGGTGATTAAGTGTCTTAGAAAAGCGGTTTCCTTTCTAAGGAATTCACTCTTCAATTGTCTGACGTCGATCTTTTTCGGGACTGCCCAAAGGGGTGAACAACTCCAGGGTGAATAACTCGGTCTGATTATTGAATCGTCAAGCATTTTCTTTATTTGGCCGTCGACTTCTTCCTCTGGTGAACTTTTGGATATCGATACGTCTTTGTTTGGACTGGTTTTTCATCTGTTGTGACGACGCGATGTTGCAATATGGAAGTCGTTGTTAGTTGGTCGTACTCGTTCATGATTATTGATAATCTTTTCTTGAAATTCTCATTACTTTTCATTGCACGGTGTGAATGGGTTCGCTTCTATAGGCAATAATGCTATTTCTTCTGCTTTTTTCTATAATTTTTTGTTTATTTGATAGGTTTATGACACTTGTAACAAATTGATGATGTTAGTTTACGCGTACATAACTATCAGGAAATATGATTTCGTCATTTAAATTAATTTATGTGAGTGTTGAGGCAACTGCTCTTATCAAAATACATAGAACGACATAGTTTCTCTTCAGAATCAAATATTAAATCCAAAGTTATATACAGTAGAATCCGGATATAACGACCTTCAAGGGACCGGCGATATTATGTCGTACTAACCGGATGACGTATAAAACGGATATTTACATATGTATGTAATTATGTATTATAAGTGCGAAAGTTTGATTTTCCTATTTAGGTAAATAAAACATGTTGTAGGAATCAGTTACATATGTTTATTTTAATTATGTATGTTAGCGGAGGGTGGAATTTATGTTGGCGAAGGGTGGAATTTCCCTGTTCGTAACCTGATTTCATAAGGGCCACCTGGAAACGCACGCATAGACGCAAGATACATTTACGCAACAGGCATTTATCCTGCACCCTGCGGGGGTAAGATGGGATAGTCAGTCGTAGAAGGACGTAAAACTTGTATATGCTGAGTGTAAACGGAGTAGAAATAAACTATTGAAATTCAGTGTTCTTATTAGTTAATAGTTAGTGGTCTTAAAATCAACAACAATAGTATCTTTACATGTATTCTTATATGTACACAAATAAGTAGTACATACCAAATTACAAACATAGGTACGTAATGTACTGTAATACTGTCACTAACGTAGGAAATTTGTTATTTGGGTTTGTTTTTGACAGACTTTTGTTCGGTAGTAAGAACTTCGGACAGCATTGTGAATTCGTGACATCATTGTTTTCATATGGTCATCATCAAAGTTAGTCTGAACAAATACATTAAGCGTTTCCGCAGCCTTCAGAGCTTCAGATACACTCAAGGTTGGATAAAACTCTGGTTCGTCATCATCACCGTCGCTATCTTTGCTATTCGCGTCGTCGGCGATGATATTATCCACAATGTTTTCATCAGACGGCTCTTAACAAGTGGCGACAGCATCATCGACACGCGCGTATTGTTCAAAGTCCTCGTTTGTTATGGGTAACTGATGCTTATCAATAGCCTTCGCCCAAATGCTCAGCGGTACGTCGTCTTCTTCGTTAAAATCATCTGAAGTTTGGTACATTCTACATTGCTTCGGACAAAACCAGCATGTTTGTAACAGTTAAAAATTGTTCCTTGCTTGAGTTGAGTCCAGGCATCTTGAATCATTAGAATAGCGTCAAGAACAGTGATCTTCGGGCACTCAACACTACTGCATCCGCCATCTAGAAACTGGATCATTTTTAAAACAAGGTTTTTACGAAAATGTGCTTTCAAAGCTCGAATGATCCCTTGATCCATGAGTTGCAACACTGATGTCGTGTTTGGAGGCAGAAATACTAGGGTTATGCTTTTCAAGTCTGCAATATGGGGATGTGCAGGACAGTTGTCAACTAACAGCAGGATTTTCTTATTCTTTTTCGTAAGTTCACGATCCCATGCGCGTGCCCATTTGGTAAAAATGTCACCAGTCATCCAGGCTTTTCGATTGCTCTCATAATCCACTGGCAAATGCCCTACATTTTTAAAACATCTAGGACGTTGAGATTTCCCGATTACGAGAAGTTTTTTTTTAGCTGTGCCACTCATGTTGGCTGCCACCATCACTGTTATTCGCTCCTTTGATAATTTTCCTCCTGTACATTTTTCACCTTTAAATTTCAACGTCTTGTCTGGGGTTAATTTATAAAACAACCCGGTCTCATCTGCATTAAAAATTTCATCATCACTAAATTGAGCACGTAGAGTAGGCCAAACTTTTTCTAACCAATCGTGTACATCACTCTGTTGTACTGACAAAGACTCGCGAACAATCTTTCCACTGACGATGTTGTGTCTTACTTTAAAACGGTTTATCCAACTCATGGAACATATGAAATTTTGCATGTCTAACTGTCTAGCAAAAAAATTTGCTTTCTCTTGTAGCAGAGGTCCATTAAGAGGTATTCCCCGGTCGCGCTGAAGCTTAAACCACTGTAACAATGCCTTATCCAACTGCTCATGAATAGAAGTTCTTACACGTTTGCATTTCAAAACATTGGCATTAAATAGCGGCTCGATCTTGTATTTATTCTTCTTTATTGTTGATATTGTAGAATGAGATACGCCAAATTCCTTTGCGAGGGTCGCGTTTGATTCACCAGCTTCTAATCTGTGTAATATTGCACTTTTTTCTTCAATTGTAAAACACTTTCTCTTCACAGAACTCATTTTATGGCGCTTTATGAACTTGTCATAACAGGTGACAAACACTAACTGTGATTTACGCGCGCCAATAAGGAGAATTGAACGGTGAAGCGCGCGGGGAAAGTGTGGGGGCCGAGGTATTGGTCATTCGTTACCTAAATTGAAACAAAACACGGCGCGTCGTTTTAAACGGACGAATTAACGTAAAAAATAGTCGCTATAAACGGTTTGTCGCTCAAACCGGAGTCACACTAAACGGTTACATTTTCTCAGTATCTAACTATTAAACCGAACTTGAGTAAATAATATCAACGCTAAAAACGGTTAGTCGTTATAAGCGACGTCGTTATAAATGAATTCTACTGTACTGTTAATACTAACCCCACATACGGGGTAAGAATTAACATGTTAATACTAGCCCCGTATGTTTTGTTAATTTTAAATCCATGGATACCACTTCAATAAAAAAAAATGTCATTACGGAATAGTGTACATTAGCGTTAGTAAAGTTATGTAATATTATTAAGAATAAAATAAGCTACTGTGAAAAAAATATATCACGACGAAATCAAATATTCAACACGTAAATCAAAAAATCTTAAACTGAAAAAAGTTCGTTACCTGACCAAAATAGGTGCACATCACATAACTCACTCCCAAGGCTCACTGTGCTGGAATGACGTGTTTCAACTTGTAGACCGCTGTCACAGGGACGAATTTTAGGAATAATTAGTGACGTGCATCTTATAATTTCTTAGAAATTCACTTCTTAATACTCACTTCTGTTAATTGAAGCCCCGGCCTCCCCTACATCCTATTGTAAGACGATTCTATTATAGTCACCCACTCTGCTTCTTGTTTCTTATTTTACCAGTCATTCAATCCTTTCTTAAGAACCCTGTATTGTTCTTCCGCACCCCTTCCGTCCCATATCATTTTACACACGTCCGTAATTTCTAGCTCATTAAATATTTCCTATACGGATTTTCCCCATTTTGAAGGAGTTCAATTTATTTCCTCTAATAGACAAATTTTAGGCCATGTCTCATTACTCATCCCCACTACCTACATCTTTTATGTACCTAAAAGCTCTTTCTCTGATTGTATACTCTATATCTTCCACTCTCAGTTCATTTTTCCATATATATTTTGGGGTGTTTCTGGTTACTCCCAGAGCCATTTTGCAATATCGCCCTTGTACTATTTTCATACTATCTAATTTACCCCAACCCCAAATTTCTACCCCGTATAGTGCAATAGATCGCCCGAGAGAGTTCATTAAATACACACGATCGTTTCGTGAATCTCTGACGGATGGCTGCAATGTGGTGTATTGTTCATATGATGGCGACGGTATTGGGTTAATTGGTACCTATGTCTGGTGATGGTGTTGCCTGCTTCACGGTAATTTTCCCATACGATGAATTGCTGTATGATGTTGTTAGCGATGAATTACTATACGATGACGATGAATTTCCATACGATGTTGATGGATTATTGTACTATGGCGATGTAGGGTTTCTAAAAGTTGGCGGTGGTGGTGAAGGTTTGATATATAACGGTGACAGTGTATAGTTGCTATACTATAGCGAAGGCGATGCACCAAATTGTACTGAAGAATTGAAAGAGGAATTCTCATTTATTTGTACAGAATGACGATGTAGCAGTCCCAATTGACCTTCCATTATAATCTCTGCGATGACTTTCTTTAAATAAAATTGTTGAGTTTTCTCCATCTTTCGAAGATCTGCAGCACAAGCCTTACCCAAATAATGATATTCGTCTTTTACTTCGTTTAAGCGTTCATACGCTAAATCTATAAGTTTTTCATTTTTTTTTTGCCTTTTTAGCAGAATGTACAGACATTGTACGTGGTGAAGTGTCACTGAGTGTAGAATCTTGAATTTCATCTAAAGATGCTCGAGTGCCCTAAAAATAAGAAAAGAAGAAATTAAACATTGTTTCTTCTTTTTCAGTTACCAAAAACGAACGAAGAATGGGAAGAGGTTGCGAACGATTTTGAAATCAGGTGGAATGCTCCTCATGTACTAGGTGCAATAAATGGCAAACACGTGGCAATTAAGAAACCACCTGGTTCAGGATCCCTCTATTTCAATTACAAAAAACAATTCAGTATTGTGTTTATAGTTGTTGTCAATGTCAATTATGAATTTATTATGGTTGATGTTGGAACCAATGGACGCGTGTCAGATGGCGGTGTTATACAAAATACAGAGTATGGAAAAAGGTTGAAGAATAACAGTTTAAATGTCCCAAGTCCTGCAGTTGTAACTAATACAACACGTACTCTTCCATGCGCTTTTTGTTGGAGATGACGCCTTTCCAATGAGTACAAATTTGTTAAAGCCATACAGTCAAAGCGGACTGACGAAGGAAAAACGAATATTTAACTACCGCTTAGCACGTGCGAGACGTCTAGTCGAAAGCGCATTCGGAATACTTGCTACACCATTGGAGTTTTTCAAAGACAATTTCCTTTGCATCCAGTTAAAACTTACTTGTTATAAACTATGCACTAAAATTAATAAAAAAATATTAATTATGATAAATAGACATCGGATTATATGCACTATCAAAATGCCAAAATATGCATGCAAATATGCACTAAAAAAGGGTGAAATATGCACAAAATATGCACAATAAAAAAACCATTTATAATTAGAATTTACATTTTCGACGTCAACTGACGTTACCGGACAGAACTTGAAATNCACTTAATATCAATTTATAGGCTGAAAATGACCTTTCGACGTCAACTGACGTTACCAGACAGAACTTGAAATTTGGCGCCATTCCTGCAGAGACCTCTTCAGGAAGAGTTTGTCCGGTGCCGTTGATAAAAGCGTCAATTTTCTTTATTTCGTGAAGACCGGGGTTTTTATACAAAACTGCATTTAATTTGCCACGAACCTTTTGCGATATTGAACTCTGAAGGACGTTACTCTGTTCAATCATTTTTTCTGATATTTCCAAGGACTTCCACAAAGGAAGGTTTTTAGTTTCTAGTTTTTTAATTGCATGGGGTATATTGCTGAAATGTGTTGCAATAAGAGCAATATTTTTTTTTTATTGAAGGATCCTCAAATGCCAGCTGGCTTGAATTGATTGCAATGGCGTCTGATCTGTCAAATGTTCCAACTACTTCTTTTATGGCCTCAAAATTCTCAGCATAAAATAATACAGCTTTTAACCAAGTTCCCCACCGTGTTAATATTGGTTCTGGGAGTAGTGCAACGTTTGGTAGTTTTGTCTTTATATGCTTGTACTCGTGATGGTGCTTTTAAAAACACTTTTTGTAGAAGAAATCAATTTATTTACTATGCCGAACTTATTTCTGATTTCTTCCGCCAGTCGATGTAATCCGTGGGCTAGGCAGGTGATGTGAAGCAATTACTTTTAGAGCTTGACCAGCTTTTACCATATATGGCGCACCGTCAGATACAAAAACACATATTTTCTCATCCACAGAAGAATCGGGAAATGGTGATTTGATGGAATCATTTATGAACCGGGCGATAGTTGAATGGTTTGTTTTTTCAAGGACCTTGCAAGCAACCAAATGAGGAGTAGAGGGCTCTTTAGATAATTTTCCAACAATTAGATTCGCTATATATCGTCCACATTAATCTGTCGTTTCATCAGCCGATATCTATATCAAATCGTTGGAGGGATCGGCGCGTATTTCACTAAGTACTTCTTCGTAGATAGTTGACAGGTAGTTTTTTCAAATTGTGGATTCTTCAGGAATTGTCTGATTAGTGCAGTACTTCTTAATGAATTTTCTGCATACTTCGTTATTTAATTGGTGGAAAGGTATATTGGAAGCAACGAAAAACTCATATAAATCTTTGTTGAATTGTATTTTGTTTGTAGTACCCGAATTAGAAGACGAAATATGAGTCAGTAGTTGTTGTCGACTTCATATATGTTTCTGTTTTGCAGCTAAATGGGAAGCAGTACTCACATGTTGAACGATTTGATATTTTTTTGATGAAGGTATTCGCTTTTCACAAACCTTGCAGAAAATCATAGTGCCATCAGACGTAAATTGGTCTGGGTAATTTTTTATCCAAGATTCCATTAAAGTCTGAGTATTTTTTTACCGGCGGCATTATTTTAAAATAAAGTAAGATTTTCGTAGATAGATAAACAAATACAGAGAGACCCCTATCGAGCGCTGACCACTGCGAGCCAGTAGATTGGATTCAGTGCGCTCGCCGAGTGTGTGCGAGGCGGATGCGTCGACCTGTGGCGTCGCCGGCGTAATACAACACGCCTAACATGTATAACTACTGAAATAAGCACTGTTAATGAAGAAGTACCAAAATATGCAAAAACGCTATAAAATAGAATTATATGCATTTGTATATTGCAAATATGCAAATGCATATAATCCGATGTCTAATGATAAACTTACCTAAACAAATATTTACAAACACAGTACAATTTCTTGCTATGTAACTTATATACATCTTCAGATTCAGATGTAATACTTTAAATTGATGTTGGGCCAATGTAAGACTTAGAATGGAAGAGGACGAAATGTACGTCCGATTCGTTAGTGATTGAAGCAACAGGTTCATGAATTTCTTCTTCATTGTTTTCAAATTTTTCTATAGTGTTTGCATTATTCGAAAAGGAATCAATCGACATAGGACTGTACCCCGAAGAGGCAAAGCTGAAATTGTCGTCTTCATCGTCGCTGGAAGATGAACTTGTAATAGGCTTCTTTTTCGTCGGTCTTCCTTTTTTTCCAGTCACTTGAGGCGTGGAATCTCTTAAATGGCTTTCCAAAGCTTTAGATGTAATACATTGGCCAGGAGGAACGGCTAACTTTTTCCTGCGATTATTTTGAAGCGTTCTCAGCTCCATTCTCTTTTCCGCGAGCCTTTCCAAGAAAGCCATCCGTATTAAATTTGCGTCGACGTTGCTACGATCTTGACAAGGGAAGCGATTCAAAATTTCATGCTTATTTATGGGAACTATGCCTGCCTTTCTGAATCCTGATTTTAAGTTTTGAGGAACTGCCGGTTCAAGCTCTTCGAGTGCTTTGTTTTCGGATTGTTTTGAGGTAGTCAGCACTTGCCTCCATTTAATTTTTAGGGGCCGAAAGTACGCTATATCGAGGAGCTATGTTAAATTACTAGAATTAGGTGGTAAACACACAAAAGCTGTTTAGTTTTCTGCACGTAATTTTTACACTTTTGGACTGATGTTTGAACTAAGATTGTCTCCGATTAGCACCTTTTTTCCTGGTTGTCGTCGCAAGATGGGCAAAAGGTGTACAGTAAACCACTCCTCGAAGGTTGCGCCATCCATCCAGCAATGTTTAGTCCGCTTATATCATGCTCCCTGTGGACCGTTTTCTGTCCAATGAACCACAGATTTGATGTATGGTGGAACAGCAACTCCTGCAGCATTTCCGCAAAACATGACCGACGTGCTTGATTTGGACGAGTTCATCACCCTCTCTGGATATTTACATCCCCGTCGGCATATTACTCGAGAGAGTCCTGGATCGTCAGTAAGATTACTTTCGTCATAATTGTAGATTTGATCAGGGGGCACGCCTTCTATGACAGTTTTCAGATTATCAGTGTATTCACTAATAATATCCTCACTAAAAGACGCTCTAACTTTTTTTATGTTAGAAGCGAAATGGACAGAAAGTTCGGGATGTCGTTTGAGATACAGCTTTGTCCAATCCTTTCCTGATAAATTGTCCTTGAAATTTCGTACAGTTCGACCTTGAGTACCAAAATAGGCCTTTATAATAAAACGAAAATCTAACTGAGTTACCGGGAATCCATATTCGGAAAGTCGTACTATGTGCTCAGCAAAGGAGTTCTCCTCGGCTTGCGTAAAAATCGTTGGGCGGCCGGGTTTCAACGGAAATCTGTTTTTCTTATTTTTTATTGTGCTTCTGGGAATATTGAAATACTCCGCTGCTTGCTCGCGCAATATTTTTTTTTCCTAATACTTCTTTAAAAATCAATCCTAATTTGCTGTATAAATTACGTAGGAAACCACCAGAAATAATACAAAAAGAAAGAAGGTATAGGTTATGTTAACAGCTGGATGATTCGCTTGATATATACAATGTATTTTCATTATATTACTATAAACTACTTGTCAAAGACATAAATCTTTGATAAAAGTACATGATTTTAAGTACATGTTAGTTCTTATGAAATATACAAAAATTATCTGGCAGGACTTATACAAGGCCTATTTTTCGACTCGGGTTGTGAATAACAATTACGATTTCCAGAAAGTGATTGTAATTAAAATTGAAAAATATCATCTGGAATGTCGCTCTATCCCTTAATCTAAACAGTAGCCGTTAACTGCGCAGGTAATTCATTTTTTTTTTAATCTTAATAATTTACCTCTTTTAATATTAGCAGCTCTACCTAAAATATTAAAATATCTCTTC